CAGCCTGCAGTGTAGGAGATCTGGATTTGATCCCTGGGTTGGGAAGATCCCCTGGAGAAGGGAATGGCAACCCACTCCAGTATTCTTGCCTGGAGAATTCCATGGACAGAAGAACCAGGCAGGCTACAGTCCATGGAGTTAACAAAGAGTTGGACATGACTGAACGACTAAAACTCATTTTTTTTAGCCTTCCCTTTAGTAAATTTTTGGTTTGTGTTTCTGTTTCCTCTTAAACTTAACAGTACTGTTAATTTTCCATGAAATTCAGTTTTATTTCTTCTCTTTTGCCAACCCTGTGGTTGATAATGAGAATATAAGGTAGCGTTTTTGGTTTGGTTATTGCTGATCCTCAGACATAACTGTGTACACCCACGGAGCCTGTTGCCACATTGTCTCATTAATGTTGGATGCTCCCTTTTCTATTACATAGGCTGCACACATGTATTCTGGGGCTAAAACTGGGTTGGTGTTAACTGACATACAGCGAGAGCAGCAGGAGCTCAAGAAACGGGACCAAGAGACCATGGCATTTGAAGGTAAAAATGTGAAAGTACAGAGACCAGTTGAGGCTCATGTAGCTTTTACTTTTTAAAAAATATAGCTAATTTATCTGATATTTAAAATTTTTAATTGCTATCAAATTTCAGCTCTGGTTTTCTGCTTTGTTTTAACTTCTCATTGGGTTCAAGTGGATCTTTTCCTTCTTAAAAAATGTTAATTTTCAGAATCATCACCAATATGCACTTAGATGTTGGTAAGGACGACTTGTGGTCTGACTGTGAACGTTCTTATCCTTCATCAGAACACTAAGTGTTTGATTTCGGCTGTTAGAATGTTATTTCTGATTTTGACACCTTTTTGTTTATCTTTAAAAGCATACTTTTCCTTTGCAGCTGAATTCCAACATGCTGAAACTGTATTTCGAGATAAGTCTGGTCGTAAGAGGAATTTGAAACTGGAACGTTTAGAGCAGAGGAGAAAAGCAGAGAAGGACTCGGAGAGAGATGACCTGTATGCTCAGTGGGGCAAAGGGTAAGAGAGCCACTGAAAGGAACACAAGACTGCAGTTCCTGGAGGAAGTAATTTCTCTCCTCTCTTGACCAGTTAGTTCATTGTTCTGCCTTTAAAGCTGTTTTCAGGACTGGGAACTACAGTGTGCCAGTCTGCTTCCTACAATACTGACGTATTTCACACTTCTGGTTGGTATTCTGGGAATGTTACCTTTTTCAGTATTTGCCCTAGACTGCTAGGAAGAGGAGGCTCTCCACGTGTAGCAGTATGGTCCATCTCAGTGTAAGAGTGGAGATGTTAAACAGGATAGCAGTCACTCCTGGTTGTTTTTGTCCAGGCTTGCCCAGACCCGGCAGCAGCAACAAAATGTGGAGGATGCAGTGAAGGAAATGCAAAAGCCTCTGGCCCGCTATATTGATGATGAAGATCTGGATCGGATGCTGAGAGAACAGGAAAGGGAGGGGGACCCCATGGCCAACTTTATCAAGAAGAATAAAGCCAAGGAGAACAAGAATAAGAAAGGTGAGCCTTCTGGGATCATCAGAGATAGAGGTGATGTATGTGAAGAGAGAGAATCATTAGTGATGATACATAAATACCTGCAAAGAAGGCTTTCCCATATAATTTCAGATTCCTTGTATTTGGGAATTTAAGTTGAAGTCGATCAGAGATTTCTGTATGAAATTTTTTTTCCTCACGGCCATTCAGCTCTGAATTAAATTACATAGATAACTAACTTTTCTCTCTCTCTTATCTTTAGTGAGACCTCGCTACAGTGGCCCTGCACCTCCTCCCAACAGATTCAATATCTGGCCAGGGTATCGCTGGGATGGAGTGGACAGGTAAGCCTGAATATTTCCTATAGTTTTGTTTTCTCTTCCTTGTAACCCTAACCTTCGCTGACTGTTCTCAAATCATTGTACACTCTGCCTTATTCTCTGCTCTGATCACAAGGTTAGTAGTGTGCAGTTTACTTGCTTCTGTTTCTCAAATCCCATTTCCCATGCTCGTAACACTCCTCTTTTCCTTTTCAAAGCTTTTTAAAGCTCTGGGTAAATAACTGAGGTGGTCCAGATAGATACCTTTTTTTTGATGTTGATCACTTCTGGTGGTATTCTCTAAGGTTTAGAGAGGATTGAGTGATGGGTGCTAGTCTGTAGCCTTCTGTATATTGTATCTTTAAAGTGTAGCCCTTGAACCTTTTCTTCACTGCCTTGGGAGTGAGTCTCTTGTAATGTCGCACTGACCCCTACTGCCTTATATGTTCACCTACCCACGTCTGTACCCACATACACTTAACTTTCTGTATGCTCTCATGGGTGAATTGTATGTGCCTCTATCTGCAGACAGTCCCTCTACTTCCTGTTCGATTCCATCTCTTGCCTGCTAAAGGACATAGTTCTATCATGTAGCACAGTGACTCTCAAACTTTGTAATCTCAAGACCCCTTTATACTCTTAAAGATTATTTAGGACTCCAAGAAGTTTTGTGTGGGTTGTATCTGTTAATATTTACCATATTAGAAACTAAATAGTTTTAAAAGTATTTATTCTTTTAAAAAAGCCATTACAATAGCATATTTACCCTGCTTTTAAAGAAAAATAACTATTTTCTGAATGAAAAAGTGAGAAGAATAGCTTTGATTTGCATTTTTGCAAATCTCATTAATGTCTGGGCTAATAGAATACTTCGGGATTTAGGCTGTTGCAATATGTTTAGTTGAAATATAGGAAGAAAATTCAAATTTATACACAGGTAGTTAGGAAAGGAAGGTGTATTATATTTTTTTAATATTCCACAAAAAATAAGTTTCTTAATGATTACTTGTAATATGGAATCAGAAACCATATAAAAAATCTTTTCATTCTGTTAGATTAAAATTTATTGGTCTTTTTTCTATTTTGTCTTGATCTTTTTCTCATGCGTGACTTCATAGCATCATCTACTGTTCATTGATTTGCTGAGTTTTTCAGGCCTTTCAAATGCTGACATATTTTATGTACAATATCAGATAATAATTATATACTAACATTAACTTTGACCTCATCACAGAAAATCTTTAAATAACTAGAAGCTAAAGGAGTCTGTGGTAGTTAGTTACCATATTACCAAAGCTAAAGTTTAAAAAAAATTCTAATGTATGCTCTAAAGCTCCAATTTTATCATTAGCAACAACCCAATATTATATCAGCCACTTTCCTTGAAGCAAAGGTCACTTCATACAATGGCTTTCTGTAGCTTCTACCAGATTTTGAACCTTGAGGAATGAGTCTTCTGTGAATATAGACAGTGTTACTTCTTCCTTTCCAATCCAGATGTCTTTTGTTTCTTTTTCTTGCGTTACTACACTAGCTAGAACTTCCAGTGCATATGGTGAGTGGGAGTAGTTAAAGCAGACATCTTTTACCTTGTTTCTAACCTTAGGAGGAAAACGTTCAGTCTTTTTACCATTAAATTTTATAAACTATAGTTTTTTTGGTGGGGGGATAAATTTCCTTTATTGAGTTGAGAAATTTCTGTTCCCAGTTGGCTTAGGAAAGTCTTTTTTCAGGAATGTATGTTGGATTTTGTTCAAAATATTTTCTGATTTTCTTTTTGGTTCACTCTTTGACCCATGAATTACTTAGAAGTGTATTTTAGAATTCCAAACATTTAGACTAGTCTAGATATCTTATCGATTTCCAATGTAATTCCATTGAGGTTAGAGAATTTACTCTAATATTTTGAAATTAATGCTATAATTTTTTATCTTTTTAAATTTGTTAAGACATGTTTAGTAGCCCAGTATATGGTTTACCTCGGTTAATACCCCATTTGCACTTGAAGATAATGTGTATTTTGCAGTTGTTTGGGGGTAGTGTTTTGAAAAAATATTTGTATTCTATCTGTTTTGGAATAATTTTATATATATAGAAAATGTGCAAACATTTCTTATACATACCTTATCTAATTTTGTTACCATATTAGCATGATACAGCAATCAAATCTAGGAAACCAACATTAGCATATTATTAGTGTACCAGACTTTATTTGGACTTTGTCAGTTTTCTGTTAGCTTCCTTCTTCTGTTCAAGGATGCATTTCCATGCGCTACACTGTGCTAAGTGTCCTGTCTCCTCTGTATCTCCTCTCTGCGCCAGCTTCTCGGTCTCTCTGCTTTTTGTAACCTTAACGGTTTGGTGGGGGTACTGTCAGGTGTTTTTATGAAATGTTCCTCAGTTGAGTTTGTTTGGTGTTTTTCTGATGGTTAGCCTGAATGTTATGGGTTTTTGCAGAGAATCCCACAGTAGTGAAATGTCCTTCTCATCATGTCACTTTAGGGGTTACATGATAACCCACATGACATCACTAGTAATGTTAACCAGGATCACTTGGTTAAGATAGTGAGTGTTTGCCAGATGTCTCAACTTTAAAATTACTCTTCTTTTTCTTTTATACTCTCTGCTTTGGAAGTGAGTCGCTGAGTTCAGCTTATACTCAGAAGAACAACTATGGAAGGGTATCTCCATGTATTATTTAGATATTTTCTGTAAGGAAGATCTGTTTTACCTCCCCATTTATTTGTTCAATCATTTATTTATATTAGTATGGACTCATGTATATTATACTTTGTTCTGTAATCTAGTGGTATGTTATTTATTTTGTTGCTTATGTTATCTTTTTTGTTCCATTCCTTGAATACTGGAAATTCTGTCAGGTGTCCCTTTCACTGCCCCAGCCGTTTCCTTTTTGAGCATTCTTTTACTTCCTTGTATTTTTTCTGGCCCAGCCCTAAAGAATTGCCATTTCTCTAAGAAACCCTGGCAGCTTTTAATGGAGAATTGTATTTGGAAACCAAGATATAACTGCTCGAATGCTTATTATTACTGGAGTGTCATTGCTTCTAGATCCTCTCAGTAGACAGAGCTAGGTAATGCATGTATAGTGGTCTGTATGTGTGTATACACACATATCTATAATTGTTTCTGTGTCCATCTGGAAGTATGTTATATATATGCATATATAAATATGAGTTCATACTGATGTAACTGACTCTAACCAAGTATTACCTTTCTTTTTTCCTTACCTATAAATTCCCTCCCCAACATTGAGAAAGGGGCACCCACTATCCACTATTCATTTTGCTTATCCCAGGATGCACATAAAGCAATTTCAAAATTGAGAAATTTAGAAATGAGAAACTCATTTACCATCTAAGCATGGATTTATATGTAGTTCTTTCATGTGTAAACATAAAGAGTCAGTCCCCTCCCCACCCCCAGATATCCTGGGTAATTATTTTCTTTTTAAACTTACTTATATTAGTGTGTACTCTTTTTGGTGTAAGTTCTGTTGGATTTGACAAATGAGTAGAGTCATCATTTTAAAATTTCCTGTGTAAGTCACCTTTTAGTTACTAATTCCTCCTCCACCAACCCATTGTAATTTCTGCTCTTGTTTTCCATCCCTATAATTTTATCTTTTTCAGAACGTTACATGAATGGAATCATACAGTATATAACCTTTTGAGTCAGACTTTTTGAAAGGCAGCTATGCTAACCACTGTACCACCAACGCTTGAGTCAGACTTTTTGCACTTAGCAAAATGCACTTAAGATTCATCCGTGTTCTTGAATGAATCAGTACTTCATTCCTTGTTTATCACTGAGTAGTATTGCATTGTATGGGTATACCACAGTCTGTTTATTCCCCAGTTGAAGGACATCTTGGTTGCTCCTGGTTTTTAGCATTGTGGGTAAAGCTGCAGTAAACAATCATGTATGGCTTTTAATGTGGATATAGTTTTCAGTTTACTTGGGTAAATACCCCAAAATTGCTATTTTGTTTTGTTGAAATTATGTTCACTTTCATAAGACACTGCCAGTTTTCTTCCAAAGTGGCTGTATCATTTTACATTACTGCAAAGGGTGGGGATTTCTGTTGCTCCATAACCTATCCAGAATTTGATATTGTCAGTGTTTAGATTTTAGGTGTGTGGACTTAGTTTTGAACCTTAATTGCTTTGTTTTCCTTTTAGTTATACCTCTGCAATTTTTTTTTTTTTTTTAGTTTTTGCTGTAAGGATTACAATATATATCTTTAACTTATCATAGCCTAATGACAGTTGTTAATTGTTCTATTTCACATGAAATGTAAGAATCTTGCAACACTGTATTTCCACTTAATCTGTTTTTGTTACTATTATTTTCATGTTGTTGTTCAGTCACTCAGTTGTGTCCGACTCCTTGCGACCCCGTGGACTGCAGCACACTAGGCTTCCCTGTCCTTCACCGTCTCCCAGAGTTTGTTGAAACTCATGTCCATTGAGTCAGTGATGCCATCCAGCCATCTTGTCCTCTGTTGTCCCCTTCTTCCTCTGCCTTCAATCTTTCCCAGCATCAGGGTCTTTTCTAATGAGTCGGCTCTTCTCATCAGGTGGCCAGAGTATTGGAGCTTCAACATCAACTTCAGTCCTTCTAATGAATTTTCAGGATTGACTTCCTTTAGGATTGACTGGTTTGATATTTTTGCAGTCTAAGGGATTCTCAAGTGTCTTTTCCAACACCACAGTTCAAAAGCATCAATTCTTTGGCATTCAGGCTTCTTTATGGTCCAACTCTCGCATCCATACATGACTGCTGGAAAAACCATAGCTTTGACTAGATGGACCTTTGTTGGCCGAGTAATGTCTCTGCTTTTTAATATGCTGTCTAGGTTGGTCATAGCTTTTCTTCCAAGAAGCAAGCGTCTTTTAATTTCATGGCTACAGACACCATCTGCAGTGATTTTTGAGCCCAAGAAAATAAAGTTTCATTGTTTCCCCATCTGTTTGCTATGAAGTGATGGGACCAGATACCATGAT